CTACAAAATAGTTATATTTGGTTTTAAATGAAAGGTTGTAGTGGAGTTGAGTTAAACTTTTCACAGTTCTTATTTCTACTTTTTATGCATGCATAAGTTCAAAATATTTGACTCTCACAGTCGTACTTGGTACTCAATAAAATATTTGACTCCAATTTCAGCAACGAATCCATTACAATACTGTTGGAAACACAAGAATGTTCAACCCCTGCATCTTTCTCAGCTGCAGCTTCATGTGTATTTGTTCTGCTTAAGTTGCTACAAACAAATGCATAGTTCTTCTTACCTAGAGGCGGATTCCATGTTGATTCTATTGACAAAAAATTGTAGAAGAAATGCTGCTCGTAGAAAGGATCCCAAAAAACCATCCAATCCACACATTCACAACAAACGAAGTTATCATGGTGATCTTCCAAAGAGTGGAGTGAAGGCTCTGCTGAGATAGAACCCTGCAAAAGTTTGTGTGTCCCATTTCAAATGCATATGACAATATGATGTAGATGAATTAACTGAGCATCTGTCAAGATCATGTTTATTCAATAAAACTCCATCATCTTGACATTGAGTTTGAGAGCAAGTATCCTCCAAAATTTCTTCTGGATGGTTGTCAGAATGTAAACTTAAGGAACTTGATACTTCAACATTGGACTCAAGTCTAACTCTATCAAGCGAAAATTATAAATCAAGAAGGCCTTCTCTATTTGCATCGCTCACTTTATTCAGACCTGGTTTCATACCAGTTTCATTTCTGATACCTAAAGCACATATATTTTTTGATTCATCAATATGAAAATCACCCCAACTGTGTTCTTTGCCAACTGATTAAAACAATCAACCTGACCTTCCATGGCATATAAACAAGAGGATATATTAATACTATCATGCAAAGCAGTTAACAAAGAAGGGTTCTCCATTTGACCGAATGCCGTGAATTGAGGAATTGGGTTATTTCTCTCCTTTTTCTGACATGCAAAATTTGGCTTCAAACCATTTCCTCTATAGCACATAAAAAAGAATTGCAAACAAAAAAGAACAAAATTTAGAATTTAGGAGTTTGAACATATTGACTGCTGCTTAAAAATAAAATGTATCAGAATGATGTTATCACTTATTGTTTTGCTCGATCCAATGGAGAGTGGAAGCCCAAAGTCATGCATCTGCTGAGTCGACTCCAAATCCTATAGGCTAGTTCAGTGTTTGTAATGTAAATTAAATTGTCAAAAAGGTTTGAAGCTATGGGTGCTAGCCTTGAAAGTCATATTTAAGTTAAATGCACCATATGTATCATAAAAGTCAATGAATTATCTACATTCTCGAATTCCAATATTTCATTTACATGCACCTTTCTATTACTTGTTCTTATTTTATATGCAAATTTTTTTTTTACTTTTTCATTATATATAGTTTATGTTGTCAATTTGGTTTGAATCATCATTGGCTAATATGCAATTCCAGTTGTTTTCATTGCCATCATGATTTGGAAGATTCAATCATAAAGTCCTTTCAACAACAAATTACAATAGGAAAATAATTTTAAATAAGCTATAATGACTCTGGTGCGTTAGTTATGCTTTTCCATTACAATCTGAGTGTTGATATACATTACAATTAAATTTGAGCCATATAAAAGTTAATGCCTTAGTGAAAAGGGTGTGTGAAATTCAAGGCAGAGCTTGCATTTTAGCTCTTGATGTTTTTAGGTTAATGCCTATCCAATGTGCTTATCATATTCTGCAACAACCTATATATATTTTGGAAGTATTCTTTGGCAAGCAGTTGTAAGAATTAACAATATGATGAATTTCATTTGTTTTTTCAAGTTTTAGAAAAGAGGCGGGGGACTTTTAGCTTCAAAGGACATAATACTATTTGTATAATTACCACTAATACAATATTTTCTTTCTTTAATTCTTTTGATCTTTTCTCATGTTGAATCTTACTTTTTTATGCATCCCCTGATTAGGTGAGAACCGAAAGTTTTAGGAATGGAATCTTTATTCTGGAACTCAATTGGCAAAGTTTTTAATCACTTGGAGCTTTTTTTTTCATTATGTATTTTTATTCTCTTAGCCCATACATATATCCATTGGAGAATTATTTCACTATTCGATTATTATAGAAATATTTGGAAATAGTTTTATTAAAGAGCTGTTTTTTAACAGCTTAAAGATCTGCAGTTAAATGTTTTTCAAAGCTTAATGAGTATGTATTATAGATGCTTTTAAGTGCTTAGTTCCATACAGATGACAATATGAATGTTTGAATTTGGGGCTGTGACAATTATTTTCATACGAATTGACATGATTGGTATTGAGCCAATGTGGTTGGGTGAGGTTTTGGCTAGTGAATATTATTTTCACCTGCAGACCTGTGAAAGTGATATATTATACATGAATGTGCTTGCCACTATTTGATAAATCACTACTCATAGTGTGGAGTTCCTATCTGGAGCATTTACATAAAATAGCAGCTCAAAAATATTCAGTTTCGAAAATGGCTCTTATCTTTTGTTTACAGTTTTGGAAATTGAAAGTGGCTCTTATATTCAGTTTTGGAAATAGAAAGTTGCTCTTATATTCAACTTAACATATCTATGTTTTGAAAGTGGAAATTGAAAGTGGTTGCATCCAAAAATGGCTCTTATATTCAGCTTACAGTTTTGGAATATGGCTGTTACAGTTTTGAAAATGGCTCTTGTAGTTTTGAAATATTTTTGTTTTTGTTTTTCCTGCAGTTTGGAAAGTGGAGCAAGTTTCTTTTTGTCCGACAGTTCTAGAATATTTCTATTAAATGATTGGTGGGGTATTCGTTTTGGAAATTTATATGGCTGGCATTTGAAGCTTAATCCAATTAGAATTTCATATATTCAGAACAATTGACACTTTAGGATGGCTTAAATAATTATAATAATCATTGTGTCATTCCGTTTTTGGATGTTGAAATGTTATATGAGTGTGGTTTTCAGTTGATATGCAGTGTCTTCTATATGCCTTGGCTTATATGTCGTGACTTATATGTCATTGTATGCATGAAAATTATTAAGATGTTTACATACATAGCACTCGAAGCATTTTAATAGTGGGTTTATTTAGAGGAGAAAAAAGTTGAAATTATGTTATTGAGAAGAAAACTTCGATTTAAGGCTGGTGAAAGATGCAAATGCAGTAATTTTAGTTTTAATTTCAATTCTCATTCTCTCAGGTTCTATTTAATTGTGCTTACATACATAACAATTGAAACATTCAATTTATGGATGGTAAAGGAAGTCAATTCATACGAACTACAAAAGTATATTTTGGCCTAAAGGTTTAGGGCAATGTTTGTTAGTTGTTCAAACAGAAAATTTATATTTCAGGGCATTCCTCAATTTCTTTTCAACATAGCTGTTCGGGATATAGGTTTGTTTACAGCATTACTTTCCAGGAGATCAAACCTTGCCCCCTTGCTTTTAATGTTTATTACTTTTATTCATATAATAGTGTAGCACCTTGGATGACCAAAGAACTCTATTGCAACCATTGCTTCCACAATTTGGTATGTTGAGTTTTTTTTTGTTATTCTCTCTAGTTTTTGACTGATCAACGCTTTTTATAATAATTTTAGGACAATGAGCTCGAAATATTCAGGGAATTCAGGGCAAATGATGTGTCAATGTGAGCTACCGTCATTACTATTGACATCACGACAGACACATAGTTACGGACGATAATTCTACAGGTGCCCGCGTTGGGGACAAGGACCAGACGACTGCAAATTCTTCAGGTGGGCTGACAGTGGAACTATTTTTACGATATCTCAATTGGACACATCTGCTAGGAGTTCAATAGTACCACAACAGGAGAACGCCGCTTGTGGTTCGAGTTCTTCCGTTTTTACGATGTCGCAGTCAGACAGATTTGCTCAGGGTTCTGAGTGTCAGATGTAGGTGGCATGGGCCGGATATGCTGCTATATTATAAAGTTAATATTATCATATTTTTACTTATCATTTTAACATGTTATTTTTTCTTTTTTATGAGTTATTATTATACTTTGTAGTAGTATGTGCTGCTGCATTTGACTTTTGTATGTATAACATATTTGTTTGATGTGATCAGATATACTTTAGTTATATAAATATAAATCAACTTTTTGGTATTTTCTTATCTGAACAGTGATCTTTAATTTTGTTGAGAAAAGAACAGATTCTGCTGCACAAATTATTCATTAATTATTCATTTAATTCATTTAATTAAAAAAAACTTTCCAAATAAGCTGTTTACAAAACACACTAACCAAACAGTTAAACTGCTTATTCAGAACAGAAGCAGAATGAACAATTTTGCAGAATCAGCTATTTTCCATAAGCGCCAACCAAACAGTCAGACAGCTAATTCGGATCAGCTGCTCATCAGCAGATTATCAGGATAAACTGCTTATCAGCAGAAGTTGGATAAGCTGCAGCTGCCCCAAACAGACACTTAAGAGGGAAGAAGAGATAAATGAGAGGAGGTAAGATCGAGATTTCTTACCAAAGTCTGAGCAAGCTGCCTTTGGCGGAGGCAGAGTGGAGCAAGCTTTCCTCGACGGAGGCAGACCGTAGCTTCGGCGGAGGCAGAGCGGGTCTTCGGCGAAGCGAAACATAAAATATGCCCCAATCGCACGTTCGAAACGCTTATCGCGTGTCGATACCCGCGATCAGGTTTTCTCCAAATTGCAAACGCGATTATAAAATAAGCTGCGCAAACGCGCAAAACAAACGGTGCGGCGGCATTTTAAAAATCGCCGCTGCACTTATAAGCTGCCCCAAACGGGCCCTTAAGCTTGAGCTCAATAAAACTATTTTAAGCAAAATATTAAAAGTGGCTCAAGCCTCTTAGGCTCTGTTTGGGGCGGCTTTTCTCACGC